TACAGCAATCAGTAATGTTTTCCATACTATCGGTACTAGTATTTCTGATCGGTTTAGAGCAGTACGTCATGCCTAAAGACATCGGGATGCTGTTGTACTAGGATTATCTGGAAACTTAACCCTCTGTGTTGGTGCACCTGACCAGCAGGTTATAAGAGTGTCTGTACATGAGCTGAGATTTTGCAGATGGGTTTGCCTCTGCCGGTAGTGCATTATCGGGAGTTGCCTGCAGGTACTGGGGCAGCGGACAATGAAGCCGCCGAGGTTCAAACGCTTGATCTTCCCCACGGACCCGAGTCTTTATTTCCTCCTCACAAACTGAAAAGCGAGATTCTGTCACTGGCTGCTCAGGGTATTTGGTGGGAATATTAGACTGGCAGTGGGCAAGTAGACTGGGTTTCCTACGGTGTGGATGAGGCCACTGGGAGCAGGCAAGGAGGAGGAATATACTGGCTACCGCTGCTGAATGAGTAGTTCAGGCCACCAGTTTGCAGCAACGAAACAGATCTGGGTTTTTTTGCGGGGGGGCTGTTTCATCTGGTTTTAAAGATTGGTTGGAGGCCAGGTCTGCCTCACCTCTCCTGCTTTGAGTAGCCCCCCACCTACATCCCCCATTCCCCCCCCCACCATGCCCTGTGGGTGCCACCCATTTCAGCCACACAGTTCTTGCCCAGCCTGCCCGTCAGAGCAGGTGAAGGATGCACCCCCATCTGGAAGATTAAATCTGCGTGTTTCACTGCTTCTGAGTGCATTCACCCTGGATGAACGGGACACACTCATCCTGCAAAGGATTCAGTCCATGAACTTGCTCTCTGCCTACCTGGGCGCCCCTTCGCCCCAAACCCTTCACTCTGCAGATCTGCCCAACAGCTGCTTTCATTCGGCAAGCCAGCCCGTTCTCTCTCTCCCACATCATGCCAGAACCCAAAGGGCGCCTTGCTTTGAGCTGATTGCTGAGAAAACCCTCTGTTGGGGGCCCTACTCACTCCTCTCATCCAACACTCTGCTCAAGTGTGGACACCCCACAGATTCAGCCCCCAACAGAAGAAACTGGTTTATTTGTTTATTTAGAATTTTTGTATGCCATCCCATTGCTTATAGCCTCGGGATGGCTCACATAAATAAATAAACATAATACATAAAACAATTAAAAACCCAGAAACACCCTGGCTGCACAATTAAAACCTATAGATATTAAGAGTTGTTAAACTATTGTTTAAATAAAAAGGTCTTATCCTGGGGCTGAAAAACAAATAACGACGGCGCCAGGCGGACCTCTCTGGGGAGCGCATTCCATAGATGGGGCGCCACCGCAGAGAAAGCCCTCCTCCAGGTACTTTGCCTCCTGATGCCTCTCATGGAGGGCTCCCTGAGGAGGGCCTCTGCTGCCGATCTCAAGGGGCGGCGGGGCAAAACCAAGGACTCAAGCTTAAAGGGGAAGGAAAAAAAGTAAGCAGAAATTTAACATCCAGAATTGAATGCCCAAGGCAAACTGATTCTTCGGCATGTCAGCCCAATGAGAAAAATAATGAAACTGCCCCTGTTCTACATCATCTTGGCAATGGGTCCCCCAGAAGTAGAGGTCCAGCAAGACAAGACATGCAAAACACCCCCAAGCAATTTCTTGTCTGGATGGAGACAAGAGACCCTGCATTTTATCCCCCATTGGCAGTAGGGTGATCCCAAGTAGTTGAACCTCAGATGGCTTGCCTTCTCACCTAGCATCTCCTGCCTGGTCCTCATCGCAGCTTATGAAGATTGAGGCCATCAGATCCTGCTGGATGTCCTCGAGATGGAACTCACCTCTTTCTTCGATAAACCTCTGGAAAAAAAATCCCTGAATCTCCCAATCTTTGCTGCCAGGCTTGGAAGGAAGAAATCTTTTATTTATTTATTTATTTATTTATTTATTTATTTTCTGCTTTATCTCCTGCCTTTTTCCTACAAAGGGCTCAAGGCAGCTTACATCTCCTCCTCTATCTTATCACCACAACAACAACCCTGTGAGGTAGGTGGGGTTGAGCGTCTGTGACTGGCCCAAAACCACCCAGTTGGCTCCATGGCTGAGCGGGGACTCGAACCCGGATCCCCTGAGTCCCAGTCCCATGCTCTTCACCACTACACCACACTGACCTCGCACTACACTGGCTCTCTATAATTGTTAACCTGTAGCCTATAAGATGCCATGCCCACCCCTTGGCTTTCTGCCAGCTCCACTTTGGGGCAAGAGCTTCACTGCTGACAGATCTTGCATGCGAAATAACTGATTCAGATCTCATCTGGGCGTTGCTTCCCTTGTTCTCTGACAATTGAGACCCTCCGGGAAAAAGACCAGGGGCGTTTTTGCAAAACCTCCTGCAGGACCCTGCGCAGACACCCTGCCGGGAGTCCACCTTCACCCCACTGCTGCCACCACCACTGTTTCCTCTTGGTCCCCGCTCGGCAAGGCCCCGCACAGCCAGGATTTTTAAGCTCCCACATCTAAACCTCCTTCACAGGGACACACCAAGGGAAGGCCTTCTTCACAGAGCGCGGTCTCAGCTGGACCTGTCATGTCCACCAGACGCAGCAACAGATGCCAGTCGGGACAGCTTAGCAGAGTCAGTAGGCAAATTCATGGAGCAGGGTGGCCTATCCGTGGCTACTGGTCCTCCTGGATATAGGCTGCCTTGAGTATCCGAGACAGCATGTTGATATGGTCCAAATGCTGGGGAACATGGGCAGGAGGGTGCCGTTGCCCTCATGGCCCGCTCCCGAGTCTTCTGTGGGTTGGCCACTGTGTGGACAGAAGGCTGGATCTGATGGACCCTGGTCCTGGTCCTGGTCCAGCATGAGGGGCTCACAACTACTTCCATCTGGCAATTGAGACCCTCTGGGAAAAAGGCCGTAGGCATTGTTTTGTGACATTAGGGTTGGCCTCTAATTATTATTATTATTATTATTATTATTATTATTATTATTATTATTATTAGAACATTTCTATGCCGCCCCTTGCCGAAGCCTCGGGGCGGCTTACAAACACAATACAATAAAATACAAAAATAACAATATAAAATTAAAATTAACAATATAAAATAAATAAAAAATATAAAATATAAAATGACCCACTCAGGTGGACCGTATTATTTCCATCTCGCCCAGGTCCTGGAGACAGAAACTCTCCTTCCCGGGGTCCCTTGCAGGCCAAAGAACACTCTTAGCCAAACTGTCCCAGTGCCGGAACAATAGGAACCTGCCGGCACCCACCTCAGAGCTGGGAAGGAGTCCCACTGGGCAGCCAGCGGACACAAGACGACGTTCCTCTGAAATCGCCCACTGTAGGGAGGAGGGACCAGCGGAGGGACTCAGAAAGGAAGTAGGGCAGCCATTTTCTTCCAAAATGGATGCCAGGAGCACCTCTGCTTGCAGGTATGCGGGGTTCACATGACACGGCAACCATGCTGCACTCCCTCCATGGCACACAGTTTTTTGCCTGTGTACTGTTCAGACGACCACATGCTTACCGGGAAGCCTCCGTGAGCAGAATCCCTGCCCTTTCCTGATTCTTGCCTATGGACCATAGCGGTCTTCTGATTGGTCCACTGTGGTCCTGGCTTGGGTTTCCCTCCTCCCCCTCCTACCTGCATCTCTATGGTATTTCTCAGCCACTCCAGCCCAGAGAAGTTTATTAAATGAAAATAAGCCATGTTGCTCCATTTCCCTCCTTCTCCCTCCATGTATGTTTGCACCATCTCCATTTCCAAAAATAAGTGGAGAGACGGACACATCACTTGGGCAATGGAAATAAAGCAACCAGTCGCATGCCTGTTGCTAGGGGGCTGAAGGCAGTTGAGACCGAAGACCAGAAGTGGGCACTTTCCTGGCCACTCTTGCCAGGGGACTCTATGGCGTTTCCATACCAACCATGGTAAAATGACAATTCTGGGTCCAGATGACTACAGAAGCCACGTGAAGCACAGAAACTTTAGACGACTGTAGTTGCTATTCAAAATGGCAGAAAACAACCTAACATGCAGGAATTATGGAACTGGGCCCAGATGGCCCTGCAGACTCCCATGGTCAGATTTCACAGGGGCTTCTTGTGTTGTGTGAACACACCCAGTACTTCACAGTCACTGCTCAGTGATTTGGTAAACTCAAAAACACCACCAAAAGCAAGTCAAAGGTGTTGGAGAAATTCTCATCTCAGGGAAAACTGGAGCAACTGCCCCCACACCAACATTCATCTGCCCAGAAAAAGGTTAGAGAATTTGGATAGGCCCTTTGTGCACAGTTCTAGCTTAATATCTTAGTCTGAACAGGTCGATGATCTAGACTTTGGATAGGCACCTACGGAAAAGGAGAGGCCTTTTCCTAACCTTCCTTTGAACTACACAAAACCCATTTATGTCTGTACTGCAAGAAAAGAGCAATGTCGTAAGGCTGGCGCTCCTTCTCAATGAAAGCAGTCACTCCAGCTGACACTACAAATGTCTTTATTCTACACGGTATTACAATTACAGTTACATAGGCTAGGAAGTCGTCCTCTCGTTCTGAATACATTCACCTTACATTGGATTTATGAACCCTTCAGGGCAGTCAAGGCAGGGCAATATGACCCCTTTCCCCGTGTTGCTCAATCATTCTCAAGTCTAGCTGTTCCAATCTGCCTGTGCGCCTGCGAGAACAAGCATCCTCTACAGCTTCTCCCACGTTATCTCCCAAGTTCCCACATCCCGTATCTGCAACGGGGGAAACGGTTTCCCCATCAACACCCAAATTGGTCTCTTGATGTACCGCTGTTTTGACTGCTTCCTGAACCTCCTTATCCAATTTCTCATTTCCATCGTCTGTGCAGCTGGGGAGTAGATTGTTCTGCTGGCACTAGAACTAGCTCTTCATCAACACTCTGGTTCTCATGGGAAGTTTCCTCCTCTTGTACGTGCGTCAAAGACTCTTCTGAGTCCACACACACGACAACCAATCCAGACACTGCAAAGAAATTCAGTGCACCACAGAGCTCCATGTTTAACACTCATTTATTTAAGAGGGAAGTAAGACAAAGAGAGGGTCACCAGTGAGAGGCTACTTTTAATACACACACACACAATTTACTAGCTAGCGCTTGTTTAATGGAAAACCTACAATCAAGACTCACCCACAAGAGCAGCTCACAGGCAGAGCTGTGTTCTACGGGGACAAGAACAAAAGAACAAATATTCCTTTAGCTATCAAAGATGAGCCCTTGGAACCACAGGCAGGTCTGCTTCCATGGGTTGAAAAGGGCTGGCAGTGTCCTTCTGGAGCATCAAAACGAAGGAGAACCATTCTCCAAAATCATGCTGGTTTAGGGAGGACTCCCAGAGAGGTGGGGAAATGCAGATCCCAAGAAAATAGGAGCCTGAGTGGATTTGGGTGTCTTTCCCTCAGGTAGCTATTTCTGAACACATTTTTCCATATATTAATGGCTCATGTAAAGGGATGAAGAGGAAAGAAATTGGGGGAGAGGAGGGGCTGGTCTAACTCACAGGTCCTTGTTCATTCTGTAAGGTGTCCATTACTGTACAGAAGTGTGGATGATGAGGGTTCCAAGAACTGTTTTGTACTGGGATGTTCTCTAGATTTTTCAGTACTCAAACACAAAATTAGTTTGGATGTACCTGTGTCAGCAGGGCAACTTGTGGTCCTCCAGATGGCTTGGTCTAACTCTCCCATCAGCCCTAGCCAGCAGAACCAGCAGTGAAGACTGATGGGAATTTTGGGTCAAAGCTTCTGGAAGGTCACATTGCTCACATCTGACCTATTTCTCTATGTCTAGGTAAGATATTTAGTCAACAGAATTGAAAAAAGTACATCTGATGCATCATACAAATATTGCAAAGGTTTTTCCCAAGAGCCACAAATAATTGAACGAAAGTTTTGTCGGGAACAGGAGCTGTGGAAACAACTCAAAATCTACAATGCAATGCACACCGCTTGATCTTCTTTGTATGGATGCCAGGCCGATTCGTGGTGATAAATGACATGGCACTGGTGAAAAACATGTTCTGCATGACACACATCCAGCTCACTGGATTCGTGCTAGCTCAGTTGCACAAGCAGCTGTGCCTGAAGTTCCCACTTGTGCAACTGGCTGTGAATTCCTCTTTCACAAATGCTTATGCAGCTCCTCGCACTAGTTGCCCAAGCGCAACAGGCAACTCCCGAGTTGACCGAAAGAAGATGTCGCAGAGCTCCGAGTCTGTGAAATGTCACTGCTGGATATTAGCCACCGGTAGTTGTGAGACCTACACCCTTCTCCACTTACGTCCTCCTCATTTATTCTGCACACAAGCTCATCCAACTTGCTCAGAGGTGGATCACGCAGGGAAGCGACATGTAATTGGACAAGTGAAGCAAAAAGCTCTTTTGGCAAAGCGAGCAAGTGAAATCAGACACTTATACGGACGGGAAGCCAACCTCAAGCAGATGGTGCTGCCCTTCCTGTTTCCCTTCACATGGGAGGCTGGAGCCAAAGAGGGCCAGCCTTGCCTCCAAACAGCTTAGGAGGGATGCTTGACAAAGAGTAGCTGAAGAAGCAGCCAAACAAGCGTCACTGCAAAAAACTGACTGAACGTAGTAAATCGAACAAAACAAGCTAAGGCATGAGTTTGACCAAAAATTCCCCACCTGGTGGAGTGCTAATTTTTGTAATGAAGTCAATTTGGTTTACAAAAATATGCCTTGAGCTTCCTTGTGGCAGCATGAACTCACGTAGTGTGAATTCTGTGTAGCTTATTGAGGTTTGGTTGGGCAAGAGAGTTCACCTCCCCAACTATTTGTGTTTTCTTCTAAGTCTCTTAGAAGCAGCCTCGTGTTACATTTGAGGAGCTTCCCACGTTTCCCTCATTGCTAGGATTTACATGCTTCCGCTGCATGCATGCGTTGATGAGACTTAAGGCTTCTGCTATGACGGAAGTTCATTCCACACTCTAAGCATTTGTATGGATTCTCCCCTGTGTGAATTCTTTGATGTGATTTAAGGTGTGTGCTGTGGCTAAAACTCTTTCCGCACTCTGAACATGTATAGGGCTTCTCTCCTGTGTGAATTCTTTGATGTATTTTGAAGTGTGTGCTATGACCAAAACTTTTTCCACATTCAGAGCATGTATAGGGCTTCTCCCCTGTGTGAATTCTCTGATGTCGTTTAAGGGGTGCACTGTGACTGAAGCTCTTTCCACACTCAGAACATCCATAGGGCTTTTCACCAGTATGAATTCTTTGATGCCTTTTAAGTGGTGCGCTTTGACTGAAGCTCTTTCCACACTCTAAGCATGTGTAGGGCTTCTCCCCTGTGTGGATTCTTTGATGCACTTTAAGGATTCTGCTATCACTGAAATTCTTTCCACACTCTGAACATTTATAGGGCTTCTCCCCTGTGTGAATTCTCTGATGTCTTTTAAGGAGTGTACTCTGATTGAAGCTCTTTCCACACTCGGAGCATTTATATGGTCTCTCACCAGTATGGATTCTCTGATGTAACTGAAGATCCGACATACGACGGAACTGCTTTCCACACTCAGAACATTTATGTGGTTTCTCCCCTGTGTGGATTCTTAGATGCATTTTAAGATGTGTGTTCCGACTGAAGCTCTTCCCACACTCTAAACATTTACAGGGCTCCTCTCCTGTGTGGATTCTTTTGTGTGTATTAAAATGTGAACTGTGACGGAAACTTTGTCCACACTCTAAGCATTTATAGGGCTTTTCTCCTGTGTGAATTCGTTGATGGGACTTAAGATCTGTGTTGCGATTAAAACTTTTTCCACATTCTGTACATTTATATGGCTTCTCACCAGTATGAATTCTCTGATGTGACTGAACATCTGACTTGCGACTAAATTGCCTTCCACACTCAGAACATTTATAGGGTTTCTCCCCTGTGTGAATTCTTTGATGTCTTTTAAAGTGTGTACTCTGACTGAAGCTTTTTCCACATATTGAGCATTTATACGGCTTTTCACCTGTGTGAATTCTTTGATGTGCATTAAAATGTGAGCTCTGACTGAAGCTTTTCCCACACACTGAGCATGTATAGGGCTTCAACCCAGTGTGGATTCTTTGATGAGCACTGTAGTGTGAGCTGTGACTGAAACTCTTTTTACACTCCGAGCATTTATATGGTCTCTGCCCTGTGTGAATTCTTTGATGTGACTTAAGGTATGTGCTCTGAGAGAAACCCTTTCCACACACCAAACATTTAAAAGGCTTCTCCCCTGTGTGTATTCTTTGATGCAATTTAAGATCTGACTTAGAACTGAACTGCTTTCCACACTCAGAGCATTTATAGGGCTTCTCCTCTTTATGATTTATTTGATGTCTTTTAAGGTTTGAACTCCAGCAGAAACTTTTTCCACATTCTAAACATTTATATGGTTTCTCTCCTGTGTGGATTCTTTGATGAAAGGTAAGGCTTATACTGTGACTAAAACTCTTTCCACATTCTAGGCATTTATATGGCTTCTCACCTGTATGAATTCTCTGATGCCACTTAAAACTTATGGTATGACTAAAACTCTTTCCACATTCAGAACATGTATAGGGTTTCTCCCCTGTGTGAATTCTTTGATGGGATTTAAGGTATGGACGGTGACAAAATGTCTTTCCACACTCTAAACATTTAAAAGGCTTCTCACCCGTGTGAATTATGTGATGCCATTTAAGCCTTCGACTGTCACTAAAACTCTTTCCACACACTGGGCATTTAAAGGGCTTCTCCCCTGTGTGAATTCTTTGATGCAATTTAAGGTCTGAGCTGCGTCTGAATTGCTTTCCACACTCAGAGCATTTATAGGGCTTCTCCCCTGTGTGAATTATTTGATGTCTTTTCAGGTTTGAGTGCCAGTTGAAGTTTTTTCCACACTCTGAACAGTTATAAGTCTTGGCCCATGTGAGGTTTCTTTGATATAAGGTGAGACTTAGGCTGTGAACCAATTGCTTTGCACATGCTGAATCAACATATGTTTTCTCAGCCGTGTGTATTCTTTGATGTGTTTTTAAGACTGTACTTCGACAGAAACATTTCCCACATTCTGAGCATTTATATGGCTTTTCACCAGTATGAATTCTTTTATGTGAACGCAGGTCTGACCTGCGACTGAACTGTTTTCCACACTCACAGCATTTATATGGCTTCTCCCCTGTATGAATCCTTTGATGTGTTTTAAGGTATGGTCTCCGACCAAAGCTCTTTCCACATTCTGAACACTGATAGGGCTTCTGTCCTGTGTGAATTCTTTCATGTGACTTAAGGTATGTGCTCTGTGGGAAGCTCTTCCCGCACACCAAACAGGTAAAGGGTTTCTCCCCTGTGTGGATTCTCTGATGTGAGGTAAGATCTGATTTGCAATGGAATTGTCTTCCACATTCCAAACAATTATACGGTTTCACCCCTGTGTGGATTCTTTGATGCCTTTTAAGGTTTGAGCTCCAGCGGAAACTTTTCCCACACTCCATACATTTATAAGTCTTCTCCCTTTTGTGGTCCCTTTGATATAAGGTGAGACTTATGCTATGACTGAACTGGTTTTCACTCTCCAAGCATTTATAGGTTTTCTCTCCTATGTGATGCTCAGTAAGATAGATCTGCTGAGTCACGCTTTTTCCGCAGCCAGAGCATATCAACAGTGTCTCTCTATTCTGAATATTCTCTTTGCTTTCTTCACAACATTCTTCTAGCATTGGCACTGCAAGCAATTCAGTACCTACTTCAGAAGCAGTACCTTTGTTCTCCCATGCTGACTTTTCTTCAGTTTTCATTCTTTGTTCTTCACCGTTCTCTTTACTCTCCCGCCCTTCACCTGAAGACATCAAAAGAAAACAGTGATCCAAGCATGGCTCCACAGCCCAAAGGAACACTGTTTATTTATTTTATTATATTGATGCTTTTTTTCATCCAAAGCACCCAAGGCAGCTAAGAGCTTCCTCTTCATTTTAACTTCACAACAACCCTGTGAAGTAGGCATGGTTGAGCATTAGAAACTGGCCTAATGTCACCAGGGCTGAGTGGGGACTAGTATGTGGATCTCCTAAGTCACAGTAAAACACTAACCACTACACCACACTGTTTCTCCAGTGCTCAAAGTGACTAATGTTAATAAAAACTAAATGTTTAAAAAATAAAAATAAAATAAAAACTAACCTGGATATAGCCAGGTTGGAGTCAGTGCAGCGTAGGGCCACAAGGTTGGTGGTCGGTTTGCAGGGGATGGGGTATGAGGTGAGACTGAGGGAACTGGGTCTCTTCAGCCTGGAGAAGAGGAGACTCAGAGGGGATCTGTTGGCGACATGCAGGTATGTGAGGGGATGTCACACGGAGATGGGTAGAGACCTGTTCTCCCCTGCAGAGGAAGGCAGGACGCACTCCAACGCAGCAAAGCTCAGGGAGCCAAGGTTTCGTTTGGATGCCAGGAAGCACTTCCTGACAGTCAGGACCCCTGACTGTCCACAGGGTGTGGAATGGGCTTCCACGAGAGGTTGTTGAGGCCCCATCGGTACGGGTGTTCAAGGATAGGCTGGACGTCCACATGGTGGGCATGTTGTGAGTGGGGCCGACTGGAGCCGGGGATCAGACTAGATGGCCCAGAAGACCCCTTCTGACTTGCTCTCTTTCTGTTTCTCTGTTTCTAAAATTTGAAATAAAAATCTTAATGCAAGGAGTCGTTCTTTTGCCTACTGAGATCAGATAGGCCCCTACTTGAAGGAAAACAGAGTTTGACAAGATCATCTCTGAGCATGCGTGTGTGGGCATGCATGCCCATCTATTTCCCAGTGTTCTGGGGCAAACACTGGAACAACTTCTGCAATTAAGCTGCTTAGGACTAGCCGATCTAGAAATAGAAAATGTCATTGCTGGGCAGAAATATTTTGACTGTGGGTTTTCTTGATTTGAGAAGAAAGAAATTTGGGCAGTAAACATGAAAAGAAGAAATTAGGAAGGAAAGACCAAAAAGAAGAAAAGAACTAGACTGAAAACGTGCAATGGAGTTTTTGGAGGAATTATACACACTATATTAACAGAAAAAAGTAATGAATGAAAAGGCTTATGGAATTAATTTTTAAATAGTCCAAAGACAGAAACATGAGTTTTGGAAAAAATAAATCCAAAGGAATGCAGGCGATCCAAACTAGTCCACTTATAAAATCTTCCACTCTTCCATCTCATTTCTCTAAACCTGATTTTTCAGAGGGTTCTGTTTTGCACTAACTTTCTTCATGGAACCACAGCTGTTCACTTTCTGCAAGATTTATGAAAGAGTAATAACAACGGGTATAAGCTGGTACTCCAGTAAGGCCAAGGGAGAAGGAAGGCTGGGGAAGAACCACTGCGGCTACAGCAAAGGGCTTTGTCTTAATTGGGCAGGAGCTAAAAAGGTCGACGGATGGATCCCAAGAAGAATTCAGAAAAAGTAGCTATTTCCAGGTGGTGGAACATCTTATCAATGGAGGGAACTTGGCCCCCTCTCTGCTGTCCTTCTCTCAGCGAGGAAGGATATTTTATCTAAGCAGGACTTCAGCATATAAGCTGAGTTAAACTGGAGGTGGTTTTTCTTCCGTTGCAGCTGTATAACATAAGAAAAGCCCTACTAGATAGACAGATGACGGCAAGATTGCTTTCAATCAAGAAGCCACGAGCCATATTCCCCCAGACAATGCTGAGGGGCCACAGAATGGCTCTTTTACTCTAAACATTGGTTGTATTACTGTCAGTCACCATGAGCACTGGGGAGACAGTGTAGCCTGGTAGTTAGAGCATTGCATAGTGGCTTGGGAGATCTGGTGGCTGCGAAGTCCACTGGCTGACTTTGGGTCAGTCATGGACTCTTGGTCTGACCAGCTTCACAGGGTTGCCATCGTGAATATAAAAGGGAGAGGAGAGGAACCTTGCAAGTCATCTTTGGTTCCTTGCAAGTGGAAGAAACACAGAAACAGAGCGAGTCAGAAGGGGTCTCCTGGGCCATCTAGTCTGACCCCTGGCTCCGCTCATAACATGTCTACCATGTGCATGTCCAGCCTAATAGAAACATAATAGGGTATAACTATATTATATCATATCATATCATATCATATTTCATCTGGCCAGGGTGACTTCTTTTATATTTTATATTTTTATTTATTTTATATTGTTAATTTTAATTTTATATTGTTATTTTTGTATTTTATTGTATTTTATTGTGTTTGTAAGCCACCCCGAGGCTTCGGCAAGGGGCGGCATAGAAATGTTCTAATAATAATAATAATATCATATCATGGGGTTGCTTAATTCAGTCGTTTCACTCATTCCTGACATTTTCAAGAGTCAGCATGGTGTGGTGGTTAGGTTATTGGACTGGGATTTGGTAGACCTGGGTTCTAGTCCCCACTTAGCCATGAGACATCCTGGGTGACTTCAGGCCATTCACAGACTCTCAGCCCAACCTACCTCACAGGGCTGTTGTTGTGAGGGTCAAACAGAGAGGACAAGAACTTTGTAAGCCCCCTTGGATTCCATGCAAGAGGAGGAAAGGTGGGGTATAAATGTCGTGTGATTCTAATTCCCCGGGTGGAAAGGGGGCTGTGAACCCAATATATGCATATATAAATGTAGCTGATATAATGGGGAGCCCCAGGAAGACTTTTCTCATGCTCTTATTTTATCCAGGCATCATTCCTTTAAACATTCTCTCGCTTTTGGGAGAGAACCCTTGAAATTCCCCACCCATCAGGGCAAAACAGGATTAAATCCCCAAAGGGACATGAATTCCTTGACCTGGCTTCAGCCTGGATCAACGGCACCACCCTCCACCCAAGTCACCTTTGTCCTTCAGTGTCTGCCAGGGCTGCCACTCTGGTTTGGTGCTCAGAGCCTCGCTGCCATTTTAAGTCCCCCACAATGCCCCCTGCCATAGCAGCACAAGGGGCATTGTGGGTCATCAGCACGGCAGCTCCACACAGTCACACCTGGCAATGCTTGGAGGTTGCAAGAGGAGGAAGGGGACCAGGGGAGGATGCTTTGCCCAGGGCTCCCTCAAGCCTGGAACTGGCCCTGTTGATCCACAAAGCGGGGCTCAGATAGTTTCAGCCTCCCCCTCTCATCCAAGCTCTTACAAAGAAAGCCACCCAGGCAGGATGGAGACAGCCTTGCCATTGGAAGGGGAGGCCCGTCCCCAGTGAGTTCAGATACGATCAAAGCATCCACCCATCCCACAGGGAGCGCTCCCCAAAGCCAGAAGCCTCCCTCCCTCCCCAACACGTACCTGAGCAGCTACTGGCCGATCCCTCTCCGTCTGCTGGATCCTGGGCAAATGCATCATCCCCTTCTTCCAGCCAGGAGATGAGGCCAGGCTTGGGAGCTGGGTCGGCAGGGCAAGAAAAAAGAAACCGGGGTTACTTCTCCTGACAGGATAACCAGGCTGCCTAAATCACCTTGTCCATGTGCCACCCCCAGAAGGCAAGAGGAGGAGGAGAGAAGTCCCTCGGTCCCAATCCTGCATGCGGAATATAGTGGGAATGGACGTTCCCATCCATTGATCTCGATGTGCGACAAGATTCGGGTTGGATGCAGGGTGGGCGCTGGGACACGCAGGCGATGCCAAGGAAGTTTCTTTCAGCCACACCCTGCTGCATGGAAGGGGAGCCCTAAGCTGAAGGCTTGCCTCCTCCGAAGGAAGATCCTTTCCTGTCCGCACTGGACAAACCCAACCTGGCACCCTCCAAAAGTGTGGAACCAAAGCTCCTGGGATTCCTGTCCAGGTTAGACGGGATCTGATGGGAAGTCCAGAATATCTGAAAGGCACCAAGTCGGGGCCTGGAAAAAGCAGGGGAAATCTTACAGGCATTGCAAAGGTGCCAGTGTCACAGTGACAGTGGGAAAAAGGTGATTGTGGGGTGAATCCAAGACTCTCAGCCTAGCCTACCTCACAGGGCTGTTGTGAGGATGAAACAGAGGGCAGGAGGATTGTGTACACCACTGCGGAGAAAAGTGGGAAAATAATCCCCGTGGATAAAAGGACAGAGAGAATAATCACAGATCCTCTCCAGTGGGACAACCCAATGTTCATCCTTCCAGGTACCTAGATAAGACAGAGGAGCCTATGGATGACTGCATCACTTATATTGGATAGATTTGTGTGTGGATAGATTTTATTGTGTCATGGTATTTATTATTTTATTGTTTTATCTATTTTCTTAGACCTTCAATTGTTTTATTGCATTGCAGGTATGTTTTTATTTTGTTTTGGCACTTGCCAGCCACCCATAGTCCCTTCAGGTTATGGGGTGGCATAGAAATGGAATTAATTAAATGATGCAGGTATGTGGCTTGCCCAGCAGCTTCTGCAGTGAAATTCCTTACAGGAGGGCATGGGATGGCCCTCTGCATGTTGCTGGATTCCAGTGGCCATCATCCCCAGCCAGCTTAGCCGAAGCTGAAGGCTGGTGGAAGCGGAGCGATTCTCCAACATTCAGGAAGGCTGCTGCTCCTCGCCCCTGCCCTGCAATGTGGAATGGCCGCTCCCACCCTCAGCAGCATCCAATAAGGGTGGGTGAAAGATGGAGATGAAAGCCCTTACCCAGCGAAGCCACGTTCCCATAGTTCTCCACCATGACGTCGATATACAGGGCCCTTTGGCCCGGATCCAGCAAAGCCCACTCCTCCTTGGTGAAATGCACGGACACCTCCTCAAAGGTAGCTGGTCTCTGAAAAAGCAAGAAAAAGGGTAATCTCCACACATATAATTCCACCCACAACTCTGTCTCACTTTCGCTCACAACCGGAGATGAAAACTTTAGACCAGCTCACTGGATCTTTTTCAACAGGAGCCAACATTTCATGGGGGTTTGTTGTTTGTCTCATTAGAAAGCACATGTTGTTATTTGCCTGGTCAAGTTTTGAGCACTCATAGTTAAACCGTTAAAGGATTCATTTATTACTGTGACATGAAGATTATACTCTTCACAACATGCTTCTTCTAGGTGACTCTTTAACTCCCGCACAGAAATGTGACAGCACGCTGCGTCCATTCACCTGCAAGCAGCCTCTGTCTGCCGCAAACGTCCACAAGTTGGTGCTAATTCAAAATCCTACAAATTGTTTGGGTTCCCACCTTTTGTTTGCAAGAACTCTCTTGTTCCAAAGGGCTGGAAGACCTCTCCTCAAGATTAGCTACTGGCTGGCTAATCTTAAACTGTTGTTGTTGTTAGTCGTGAAGTCGTGTCCGACCCATCGCGACCCCATGAACAACATTCCTCCAGGCCTTCCTGTCCTCCACCATCCCCCGGAGTCCACTTAAGCTCACACCAACTGGTTCAGTGACTCCATCCAGCCACCCCATCCTCTGCCGCCCCCTTCTTCTTTTGCCACCTATTGTTCCCAGCATTAGGCTCTTCCCCAGGGAGTCCTTCCTTCTCATTAGGTGGCCAAAGTCTTTGAGTTTCATCTTCAGGATCTGGCCTTCTAAAGAGCAGTCAGCGTTGATCTCCTCTAGGACTGACTGGTTTGATCTCTCTGCAGTCCAATGGACTCGCAGGAGTCTCCTCCTGCACCACAATTCAAAGGCCTCAGTTCTTTGGGGCTCAGTCTTCCTTATGGTCCAGCTTTCACAGCCATACATTGCAACTGGAAAAACCATCGCCTTGACTATACGCACTTTTGTTTTGTGGGTCTCTTTAGCTTTAAGCTAAAACATGTGGGTGTAACGGCAAATTTAGGAGTGGGGGGGTCCCTTCATGATAGTCAGAGCCACACCTCAAAGCCACGCCCCCTCAGAGCCATGCCTGTTTCCAATATTATGCAACCTGAGATCATGCAGTAAAAATGAGCTTTGTCACTTTGTTTGAATTTTGGTTGAGCAATGAATGCAAGATGAGGGTATCTCTTTGTGAGGCAAAATGGTGACAGCTTCTAGATGTTATTTATTATTATCGTATTCATTATGAATGCTCCTCAGAGAGTTTCACCTGGTGCTGGCGTTATATTCTTTCCGGTGTCAGGCAAAAACCTTTTAATTTTCCCACTATTTTAATGTTTAATTGATTTTAACTGGGGTTCTAGTATATTAATGATCAGATACTGTTGGGTTTGTTTTAGTCTACTCATTCATTGTAAGCTGTCCTGAGACATTCTGTAGGGGATAGGATAGAAAAGCTTTTAATAAATAAACATTTTTAAAAATTACATCCCTACCCTTCCATACAGGCAAATAGCTCCCAGAATGTCTGGCTTATATGGAATTAACAAGGCAGCTTCTGTCCAGTTTACTCTCTAAAAACATGACGCACAAAGGAAAGGGACAGGGATCTGTTGAAAAAACATCCCGTTCTGAACCTGTTTAGTTCTGGACTCTGACATGCTGCCAGCCATGGCATGAACCAGGAAGATTAAGTCTCCTGAGAGGCTGTGGAGGAGGGAAAGTGACTCTGGCTCTGGGGATCCAGCGACTCCCCTGAGGGCCCCCTGCAAAATAAGTGGGGGTGCTCAAACTCCCCAAGGACCCCCCCACAACACCCTTGATGTTCACTCTTTGCTCTTGTCAGCCCTCCTTGCCTCCCTCGAGCCCCCCTAAAATTGAACGTAGTTCTCGGACTGATGCTCTTGTGTCACTCAAACTAGGGCATCCTTGGCTTCTGTGAATATTTCACCATCTGGAGTCCCAGTTGAACCATGGATTGCCAAGCGAGTCTCTCTGGTGGGCCCCAACGTTTCGTTCCAATGGAAAGATGGTGGCGATCACAGCCCTGGGCAGGCTTAGATCTCATGTGGGACTGACGGCAAAAGGAGAAGGGGGCGGCAGAGGATGGGGTGGCTGGGTGGGGTCACTGGGGCAGTCGGCGTGAGCTTGGGTGGACTCCGGGGGATGCTGGAGGACAGGAGGGCCTGGAAGACTGTTGTCCGTGGGGTCGTGATGGGTCGGGCACAACTGTGTGACTAAACAACAGAAGACACAGGAGAGGAGCAGGATCCTTGGAATGGGCTAATGAAAAAGGGTCCTAGGTGGTCCTTTTACAGCACCTCTAGAATATCACCCCAACCCACCCCTTACCTTGGCAGGATGCACAGTAGCTGCTTCTCTTCTGTCCCAAGGAGGAGACGATTCACAGCAGGAGACTAATGTTATGCCAGTGCCTAGAAGGGAGATGAAAGCAAAGATGGAACACGCTCCCCAGAGAGTTCCGCCTGGCGCCGTCGTTATTTGTTTTTCGGCGCCAGGCGAAGACCTTTTTATTCAAGCGGCATTTTAACTGTTAACATTATTGGTTTTATCTGGCCAGGGCGGCTTATTTTATACTGTACTGCTGTATTTTAATTTTATATTTATATTTTAATTTATATTATAATTATTTTAACTTAATGATGCGAGCCGCCCCGAGGCTTCGGCGAATGGGGCGGCATAAAAATGTTTTAATAAATAAATAAATAAATAAATAAATAAATAAATAAGACTTTCATCCTTCATACGCACAGTTAACGTTCTAATTCTCTGCACTGGTCTTTTGAATTGCTGTATGGTGTGGGGTGAATTCGGGCAAAGGTTCAAGACTGGTGGACGCTGCATATTCTCCTCCACCATCCCCGATACACACAAATTCTGTCATGAGGTCCAAATGGGCCTTCACCTCCCCATCTACCATTTTTCTTTCTCTCACACCTGGAAAACGCTGCTTCCCAAGCCCAACACAAACTCGGCATTCCTTAATGACTTTGCACCTTCAGCTATAGTATTATTAATATTGTATATTGTTATTTATTTTATATGGTTAATTTTATATTGTTATTTTTGTATTTTATTGTATTTTATTTGGTGCTGTGAGCCGCCCCGAGGCTTCGGCAAGGGGCGGCATAGAAATGTTTTAATAAATAAATAAATAATAACAACAGTCGTTGTTGCAAGTCATCAAATCTTCTCTCACTTAGGGCGACCTGATGAATGAACGCCCAGAAATTGTCAGCTCTTATAAGACAGCCAGTGTGGTGTAGCGGTTAAAAGCGCAAGACTGGGACTCAGGTGATCCGGGTTCTAGTCCCCATTCAGCCATGGTGCCAACTGGGTGACTTTGGGCCAGTCATTGACTGGCAGCCCATCCTACCTCACAGGGTTGTTGTTGTGGAGATAAGATTGAGAGCAGGAACAGAATGATGTAACATAGAAACAGAGCGAGTCAGAAGGGGCTTCCCAGGCCATCTAGTCTGACCCCTCAGCTCCAGCTGGCTCCGCTCATGACATGTAAGTTCCTTTGAGTTCATTGGGAAAAAGAATATGACTCTAATAAATAAATAAGCTCAGGTCTATGGCTTCCTTGACGGAATTGATCCATCTTGTATTTGGCCTTTCCCCTCTTCTGCTGCTTTCAACTTTCCCTAGCATGATGGTCTCTTCCAGTGAACCCTGCTTTCGCATGAATGGCAGGAAGGAGTTACAACAATATCATCACCCTCATCCTCATCATAAAGAAGAACAACAACAATTTTCATTTCTATACCACCCAACGGCCAACACTCTCCGGAAGGTTCACAAAGAATACACATCAGAATACAGACTAAGAGAAGCATGACAGAATATCTCCAATGAGCCAAATGTAAACCAATTCAAACAGCTAAAGATGTCTAATACGGGCATCTCTTAAGGGCAGGTGTGGGAATCCAGACAAGCCAGATCTCAACCCCTGCATTAGAAAGCAAGTGGGGGTGTGAGGCTACAAAGCCGTCCCGTGCCGACTGGACTTTCCAGCCAGCTAGCAGGAAGTAACGTGCTGGTACCAAGCCCAAGCATACTTTGTCAGTCTCCAAAATCCTCTGCCACTGGATACGCCGGCAGGATCTTCCATCCTGTCCGCCTGGTTGGCAGGGAAGATGGACAATAGACAGACATGCAGCATCACGAGAACTACAAAGCGAGTGTTCGCTAACAAGCTCTTCCGCCAGGCATGTCAGAACTAGCTTAGGATGGGAAAGTCGTGAAGAAATGCCTTCCTGATTAGCAGGGTTGCACTCCATGTAACGGTAAAGCTTGCACAACTGTAACAATGCCTGCATAAGCTGTAAGCAGCAGAAGGGATATAAAACGGTCGCTTAGCCCAGTCTCTTGTTCAGACTCCTTGCTGGACCAGCAGGCCTCCCTGTTTGTCCATTCCAGCCGATTAAATGCTGATACTGAGCGCACATGGGCTAGGTAAGTCACTCAATTTGTTTTTTTAATTCTATCGATTGTATTTATATTCTGCTCCATAACCTAATGGGTAGTTTGCAATAAAACAGGAAAAGGAACAATGAAATCACAGTTAAAAGCATAAAATCCAATTAAAAGAATCCAAAAACTAGCAATCGGTGAATTTACGACAAGGCACCCAGGAATAGTAATTAAAACAATGTTAAAGCTAGTAGCTACTAAAATACCTGACAGAATAAAAACACCTTTACTTAGTGCTAAAAAGCTAGCAGCGATAGTGCTGGGCACGCTGGCCCTTCTCCCAGCCATTTCCCCCCTCTCTTTATTGGGGGATGGTTCAAGGAGAAGGACCTCCATCAAAGATATTAGTGACTGGGAAGAGTTGATTTGTCAATACATCTTGTAAGCAAACCAAGACCCAGCGTATCGCATTCATTCATCTATTTGGAGAACTTATATGCCGCCCCATTCGCATAAGCCTCGGGGCGGCTTCCAAACCATAAATAAATATAATCAATACAATTACATAAAATACTGGAGCCATCCTGGCAAAAAATTGTTAAAATCAATAAATAAATTTAATAATTAAAATAATGTTTAAATAAAAAGGTCTTGGCCTGGCGCCAAAAAGCAAAGAACGACAGCACCAGGCGGACCTCTCTGGGGAGCGCATTCCACAGATGGGGTGCCACCACAGAGAAAGCCCTCCTCCGGGTACTCACCCTCCCAATATCTTCCGAGGGTTCCCGGAAGAGGGCCTCTGCCACTGATCTCAAGGGGCGGGCGGGCATATATGGAAGCAGGCGTTCCTTTAGGTATCCAGGTCCCAAGCCATTCAGGGCTTTATAGGTGATAACCAGCACCTTGAATTGAGCCCGGACTTCGATGGGGAGCCAGTGAAGCCGATAGAGGACTGGAGTTATGTGAGAACATAACATAATCTTGGAACCAACAGGAAGAGGGATCCTTACCCAGAAATGCCAGATTCCCATAATTCTCCAGCATGACATCTCTGTACAGGTCTCTTTGGTCTGTATCCAGGAGGACCCATTCATCCCTGGTGAAATGTACAGCCACCTCATCGAACGACATGGGGTCCTGAAAGAGGGAAATATTATTTTCTTACAAAGATTCTCAGGGAAGTGCTGGAAATCCACCTCCAGATTTTATGGTTTGAAAGAAAAAGAAGCATTAGCAATGAAAGAAACTTATAATATTCTGCAGGAACCAAACCTGTGTATGAGAAAACCAGAGCAGTTCAAGGCCAAGCAGCCCGTGGGTGATGCTGATATCTGTAAGACCATAAGAAAATACAGCAATGGGAGCAGAATATCATCCCGTCTATTATTTTTAAGCAAAAATATTTCTACTTTATTACTAACCATGAATGGATGCCACAGCAAATACAATATTTTGCAAGCTTGCTATTTTCCAAGTCATGTGTTCACAGCCACTTACCGACCACACAAAATTTTAGGGTTGCTGAAATGTATTTGCATGCCAGCCATTTTCAGCACTTTTGCATTTTTTATAATTTAAACCATGTAAAATAAGTAGATGTTGGAAACCAGTACAATGCTCCACAAATATAACATGAATGCCCATTAAGTGCACTTTTTTCCCTTCTCAAGTATTTCAAGTTTAATATTTGTTTTGTACGGGGAAAAATTAACATGGTTGTTTACGAAATACAAGTCAAACTTTTAAGTGGCATAGCAGTTAGAGTGTCACACCGGATTTCTGAAGATCTGGGTTCTAGCCCCACTTGGCTCTGAAGCACACTGGGTAACTCTAAGCTGATCATAGCCTAGTCTACCTCACAGGGTTGTTGTTACGAAGATAAAATGTAGAGGGGGGAACCTTGGAAGCCACATTGGATTCCTTGCAAGAGGGAGAATGACGTGGGATAAATGCAATACAGAGGTAAGAATAGGGCAGCAGAAAATGTTCCAGTGCAAATTGCCCTCATTTCCAGAGGAATATTCATTTATTAGATTTATATCCCACTTCTTTTCTCACAAAGATGTCCAAGTGGCTAGAAACTAGAACCCACATCGCCTGAGTCCCAGGCCCCTGCTCTCAACCGTTACACCGCACTGGCTCTCAAAGGAACACCTTCCTATGTCATCCCCTTCTGCATCCTAGACCATCTGATCCATACCTGAATCGGCTGCATAATTTCTGTTTCCGTTCCACCGCTAAGACGAGGCAATCCGGGATGTTCCACCAAGATCACTCGGCTGGTTGTGAGACTGACAAAAGGGTTTCCTGCATCTTATCTTGCATTCCCTCGAGTAGAATCAAGATTGGTGTAGAAGACTTCAGTTGAGAACATTTGGCTCCAGCTCTCTGCTCAACCATGAAGCTTGGCCTAGTCGGCAGTCTGTCTCTCTCTGCCTAACCTATTCCCCAAGGTACTTATGAAGAGAAATATATATTCTTCTGAGTTCCTTCCTGGAAAAGGACCACACATAATTACAACTCATGGAACCGGCTGTCTTGGGCACAAGTCAAATGCTAATTTTAGAGAGACAAGGGTGTTGGATTTCCACCTACGAGGGGCGTTCAATGTATTCTCGGTATCGGGTTGATTTGCTATTGATGTGGGTAATTTCATTATTTCATTAGCTAATGACACTATCTGAGGGTATACATGCAAAATTTCAAATAAGTGTGATCATTAGTTCCCTAGTAATCTTCAGTGAAAGACGACCACGATGACTGATGTGACAATGTTGAAGAAAATCGAGCACCGCGCTGTGATTAAGTTCCATACAAAACAAGGAAAAAGTCAAAAAATCATTCACGAAGAGATGGTGGCCGTTTACCAGGACTCTGCACCTTCATTATCTACCGTTCAAAAATGGTCAAGTGAATTTAAAAGGGGCAGAGAAAGCACTGAAGACGACCCTTGCTCAGGTGGGCCAGTTACTGCCAATATGAAAGAAAATGTGAACAAAATTGAGAAACTTGTTTTGGAAGATGCTCAAATAAAAATCAAAATGTTAGCAGAGATGACAAACCTATCCGTTGATACCATATTTACTATTTTTCATGACCATCTTAACCTTTCAAAGGTCTGTGCAAGATGGGTGCCGCAAATGCTCATGGCGCCTCAGAAACAAGTGCGAGTCCAGTGCTGTAGGGAGTTTTTAGAGCTCTGTGGTGAAGATCCATCAAGTATTTTCGACCAGATTGTTACCCGAGATGAAACTTGGGTTCATCACTATGACCCTGAAAGTAAGCAGGAGTCCATGCAGTGGCATAAAAACGGTGCTGACCCTCCCATGAAATTCAAAGTCACTCCATTGGCCAGAAAAATCATGGCCACAGTGTTTTGGGACTCAAAGGGAATTTTATTGATCGAGTACACGAAAAAAGGTGAAACCATAAACGCAGCATCTTACGCAACCACTCTGCATAATTTAAGAGAAGCAATTAAAGAAAAAAGGCGGGGAAAACTGACCGCAGGTGTGTTGCTTCTTCACGACAATGTGCCCGTTCACATGCCGCGTGTTTCGAAGGCTGCTGTGCGAGATTGTGGTTTCGAAGAAATAAACCACCCACCCTATAGCCCGGACCTGGCCCCCAGTGACTACTACCTATTCCCGAATTTTAAAAAAGTGCTTCGTGGAGAGCGATTTTTCTGATGATGAAGAGCTCAAGGCGGCAATTAACGTACATTTTTTAGACAAGGAGGAAGGGTTAATTTCTAGATGTAATAAGTGTATTGAAGTTATGGGGGATTACACTGAAAAATAAAAATTATTTCAATTTATTATTCCTTTTTCTTCATGCTGATACCGAGAATACATTGAACACCCCTCGTATATCCAAATCTCCACACCTCTTTTAAGTCACAGATTGTGTTCCTTTAGATGTTTTGACTTTAATTCTCATGGAGCCTAGCCAGCATAGCCAATGGTGAGTTGTAAGGAGGGCCACAAAATACCTACCTTTTAGGAAAGGAGAGATACATTTTGTAATAGCAATCTGGAATGCCAGTATATGCTTTAGTCAAGCCAGCCAACCAAATTCACACTTCAGTTGATAAGACTGAGGCTGTAAACCCAAAACCTTCCATAAAAAATTGAGTTCTACATTGTCTAAGCAAATGCAAACACAAACAATGCAAACGTAAAGCTATCATTTCTGTATTGCCACATAGCTGAAGCTGTCTGGTCATTTTATAACAATGCATAAAAACAAAGCAATAATATACGAAGTAGCATTAAAATAAACTTAGAATAGCTAAAATATATAGTAAAACTGACCTGTAAAAAGAAAATTTAAATCACCTAGGATAGATAGATTTATTTACATGTGTTTATAGGCCACCTATAATTGCCAAGGTCTTCCTAGGCGGCTTACAGTGATAATCTGCTCAAGTCACTGTTTAGCTAAGCTCGCTTCAAAAGCTTTGGCACAAAAAGCCATCTTAACCAGGTACTGAAAAGATGACAAATTTGGTGCCCGCTGGGCCTCTGTAGGGAGGTTGCTCCATTGATGGGGGGCCACCACAGAGGAAGCCCTGCCTTTCGCTGCCCCCACCCAAGCCTCCCTCAGGGTTGGCCTAGAGAGGAAGGCCCGAGGGCAAGCGGTGTGTCCAAGTAGATTGTGGTTGAGACAGATGCTCTGACAGGTACTTACAGGTTACAACCAGCACCTTGAAGTGGGGTTGGAGCCATACAGTTTATTTAAACATACAGTTTAAATATGAACCCCTTGAAGTGGGGTTGGAGCCAGTTTTATTTAAACATCATTTTAATTGTTAAAATATATGATCTGGCCAGGCCAACTTCTTCTTCCTTCTCTTTTCTCCTCCTATATTATTTATTTATTTTATATTGATAATTTTAATGTTATATTATTATGTTTGTAACTCAGTGTATTTTTTGTATTTTTGTATTTAATGGTAATTTATTATGTTCTATTGTATTTCAATGTATTTTATTGTGTTGTAAGCCGCCCCGAGGCTTCGGCAAGGGGCGGCATAGAAATGTAATAATAATAATAATAATAATAATAATAATAATAATAATAATACAGTGCAAGGGGGGCAGAAACGGTCCTCTACATTTGGACCTACAAGTCCCGGTTATTCACCTGGCTGCTGCATTCTGCATCAGCGGCAGCTCCAGAGCAGTTTCAAGGACAACAAAAAGCAAGACGGGAATCAATCCCAAAGTCTCCACAGAGCCCACATTCCACAGTCAGTTCTAAGTCAGCATTTCAGGGGAATTCTGGGGAAAAGCAACACTAAGCCAAACGTTTTCATGGAATCCACTCTCGCCTGCCTGCCTGCCTAAATAAATAAATTATTGTTATTATTTTTAAGACAATGGAAAAGCAGGACAGAGCACCAATTTCCTGATCACCTCAACCAACCCAACTCACCACTGAATGAGCAGAGAGTGTTAAAGGAAGCCACAAAACTTTTAAGGAATCTGCTTTCCCCCACGGAAAACTGTGTCGTATTCGGAATGGGGACCATAGCAGGGCCTCTGTGGACACGAGGAGAGTCTGGCCCATCTAGCCCAGAATGAATGGGATGCGTTGTCATCTTCAGCAAGCTTGGCATTCTGGATCAAGGCCCTGGACAGATATTAGGACATGGAGTCTACAGACGCCCACAACTTCGTATCTTCCCAGCATTCCAGGCTGCCTGGGGCTGGTGGCAGCCCAAAATATCTAGAAGGACCAGGGAGGGGTGGTCGGCAGTTGTAGCCCCCGCCCCCCGATGGCTTTTTACCTGATCTGGCAGTACGTAGATATTAGCCATGAACACATCATGGCGGCTGCCTCAGGATCCCCCGCCCCCGTTCTGACCATGCATCCCTATTTGCAAAGGGGACCCTAACCGGGAAACAAACCCACACGGACCCGCACAGGCAGAGACTTCGACGCACGTGTACATTCGCCCGGGCGCATCTGCTTTCCGCGATCCTCAGAAATGAGGTTTGGCTGGAGACACGTGATCCCAAGACTAATAAAGCCGGGCCTGCCTTTGCAGACGTCGATTCCCCAACCCAAGAGCCTCGACACGCTCCGGGATTTCTGGCGTCTGTTCTCACGTCCCAAGCGGCTCGTTCGCGTCTGCCGCCTTTGCAGGCTTGGATCTCGAGGCGGGAAAGCGCTGGGGGGGGGGCATGGACAAGGCCCCTCTCCGCTAGCCCCGGAGCCGCTTCCTTTGTGGAAGGCGCCCCCGCCCGGGTTTGGCTCTCCCCCCGCATTCTTCCGCGGCTCCCCCCCGGGGGCACCAGGCGCGCCCCGCAACTCACCGGCCGCTTTGCAGACGAGGCGGCGCCGCAGGCAGCGCAGCCGCGCGCGTGGGAAAATCCTGGCCTCCGTTCCCACGCGGGGAGGGGGAAAGGGGAGGGGCCGGAAGCGGGGGGCACCCCTCCGGCCTGTCTCTCCACTGGCCCTTCTAGGAAGCAGCCCTCTCTTGCTTTAACCCTTAGATGGGCCGCGAAGGACCCCCCCCCATGCTTATTGCAGGCGGTTGGAGGTGGGAGGGCGCGGAGCGGGTGGTGGGGCTCTGGCGTCCTCTGCTCGCCCCCTAAGGCAAGCCCGGCGGCTGCTTCTTGGCCTGAACGGAGACAAAGCGAGGCTGGGGGTCTCTGCCTTCCTGGAGGGGCCAAGCGATGTGAATTGGGAGAACTTTTCCTCCCCCCCCCCCCCCGCCGCATCCCGCCATTCCTGTGCACGGGAAAGCTGGAAGGAGCCGGAGGATGCAATGGGAAGGGGAGGGGTGGCGGAGGATCTGGGGAGATGTCTCTGCCCCGCGAGGTTGCACGCTCCAGGTCCCAGCATCCGCACCTCACAGGAAGCGTCTGCACAACATGGGCCTCGCGATTCTGTTCAGTGCACAACCCTTTGCATGCTTAGAAAAGATGCTGCAACTCCGAGCATGGTGGGCAAGCAAGTGCGGGGACGATGTAAGACTCTCTTCTGCCCGAACATGGAGGGATCTTGCCACAAGCCGCGTAAAACTGATGCTTTCTGTCGCTCGGCTTTGGGACGCTCCTCCGCCACGGGCAGCTGCACCGCTGTATTCAGCCCCAGAGCCATCGACTGCCGGGACTGGCTTGGCCGTTCTCCCTGTAGGATTCCTGTTAGCTGAAATTCAGCTTGCACGTCGTTCCTCCGTCGTGACTCTCCCACCATGTAGGTCCTTTGGCAATGCAAGAACTGCTGGCCGCCGACTCCCTTCTTGTCGGAAAAGGCCCGCTGCTCATACTGAGCTTTGCAAAAGGCAACCGCTCACAGAACCTCAGGCCTCTCTGCAAACATTAAGATCAGATCACCTAATGCTACCTGGCTGAAGCTGCCTAGGATCACCACACGCAAATTTTGTTCTGGCAATGGGGTGATGCCTGGCAGGGCCCCCCCCTCCCCTATTCTCTGCAGCTGCCAGCAATTCACAGCTTGAAGAGCAGGGCAGTAATGCAGCCAGATGCCCTTGGCAGGAGCTCCCCTTATGTGATAAACTCTGGTGCCTAAGTTACTCCCACAGTCCTGGCACCTGGAGTATCTCCTGGACTGATTCATCCATTAACCCTTCCCTTGTCTTCCGAGAGCTCCAGTGCAGCTTTTCAGGGTTGTCCAGGGCCTCTTAAGTGCTGGCCCCAAGAATTCAGCTAAGCATCCAAAACCTGCTGTAAACACATTTGGTAGGCATTATTTGCAGGAGAAAATCTCATGCATCTGCCAGGACTTCACCTCCAGCGTAATAGCAAGTGAATCAAATGGTGTGCGCCCATTTTCTTGGTGTTTAAGCTAGTGGGCTCACACAACTACTTCCACATTGGATCTGTGCCCCAATAATTAGACTTTCTATGGCTAATTTCTTTATTTCTACACCACCTTTCTGCCAAGGCTGTTCAAAAATTTCAGACACTAAAACAAGGAAGCAAATGCAACTGAAAAGAAAGATCCCCAAATGAAATGTACAACAGAATATAGTTTTTTTCAGGCTATTTAAGGATCTCTGCAAGAATCAGTTATTTCGATTTATTTATTTTTTTTCCGATTTATATCCTGCCTTTTTCCTGCAAAGGGCTCAAGGCAACTTACATCTCCTCCTCCATCTTATCCCCACAACAACCCTGTGAGGTAGGTTGGGCTGAGAGTCTGTGACTGGCCCAAAGTCACCCAGTTGGCTCCGTGGCCGAGCAGGGACCCGAACCCAGATCGCCTGAGTCCCAGTCCCAGGTTCTTCACCACTGCACCACACTGGCTCTCAGAGAATTACAGAGAATCCATGGCCTGGGTGTCTCCTTTTCTGCTCTCTCGGAAGACAGCTACCCTTGGGAAGGTGCAAAAGATGGACTCCAAGTTACTGAAACTGTCCATATCTTATTAGCCTTGCACACAGCTGGTGGGTGTCCGTGTTTGAACTACCGTGTCTGTTTCTGGCCACCCCAACTAAAGGCTCTGGTCCAGCAGAAAAGGGCAAACTGAATGGAGAAAAGGGGGGAAACGTCCTTATGAGGAAAAGTTTTGTTTAGCTTGCAGACGAGTGCTGGAAGACATGCGTCAGAATTGTGCATCCTGCAGAGAAAGGGGTTGGGAGTTTCCTTCTCTCTCTCAATCCCATAATTCAGTTGGGATTTTGCTTGATGGGACGCTCGGCACAGATGAAAAGGACTTCTCTACACCCTGCTAGTTCAGCTATAGGAGTCACTTCTGCAAAACGTAGCAACGGCCACCAATCTGGATGGCTTTCAAAGGGAATTACAAACACTCATGGTGGAGTGGACCAAGCCATGCGTTTTCGTCTGTGAAGTCTTACATGTCCTATTGTGTCAAAGCAAGCCCGTAGTCCCCAGTGACTCGGAAACGAACATTTTAGGGTAGCCCCGCCGAGTTTCTCATTAGGCAGAAGGAAAAATGACAGGATGAAAACAGCATAGTGAAGGACACCAAATGCGGGAACCAGTTCAAACACACGACCAGTAGTGGGATTTAGATGTTTTGAAAACCTGCTGAAGTTTCTTTCTGACATTCACTCATTGTTTTCATGAAGAACAGTATTACAGGCTCAACATTTGTAATTTCTCTGTACTTGGGTTGTCAAAAATGTGAAGATCTGTGCTTCACCTCAAGTATTTCATCCCACTAGGGAAAAGGATTCACAGGAGAGTTACGTAAATGTTACATTTATATCCCACTTTTCCTTCAAGGAGACCAAGGTAGTGGAATGTTTCTCCTCTCCATTTTATCCTCACAACAACCCTGTGAGGTAGGTTGGGCTGAGTGTCAGACTGGTCCAAAGTGAGCTGCATGGATCACTGGGGACTAGAACTCGAGTCTCCCCAGTCCCAGTCCAACACTCTGACCACTACACCACACTGTTCTTCCTTGCTTTCATTAAGCATTGCTCTTTCCACACTCTGAGCATTCTTTGGTGGCATCTCATTGTGGATTCTTTGATGATAAGTAAGGCTACTTCTCTGACTGAATCCCTTTCCACACTCAGAACATTGATAGGGCTTCTCTCCTGTATGGATTCTTTCATGATTAGTTAGGGTACTGCTGTGACTGAAGCTCTTTCCGCATTCTAGGCACACGTATGGCTTCTCCCCTGTATGGGTTCTGTAGTGTAAACCCCGGGTTCGGCTACAACTGAAACTCTTCCCACATACTGAGCATGTAAAGGGTTTCTCCCCAGTGTGTGTTCTCTGATGATAAGTAAGGTTACTGCTATGACTGAATGTCTTTCCACACGCTGAGCAAGTATATGGCTTCTCCCCTGTGTGTATTCTTTGATGGGAAGTAAGGGTACTACTCTGGCTGAAGCTTTTCCCACACTCTGAACATTTATAGGGCTTCTCACCGGTGTGGGTTCTGTGATGCAAACCAAGTGTACGGCTGCAGCCAAAGCTCTTTCCACACACGGAACATTTAAATGGTTTCTCCCCTGTGTGTATTCTTTGATGATAAATAAGAATGCTGCTCCTACTGAAGCTCTTTCCACACTCTGAGCATTTAAACGGCTTCTCCCCTGTATGGATTCTTTGATGATAAATGAGGGTATTGCTCTGGTTGAAACTCTTCCCACAATCTGAGCAGGTGAAGGGTTTCTCCCCCGTGTGGATTCTTCGATGATTGGTAAGATGCATTCTCTGGCTGAAGCTTTTTCCACACTCTGAACATTTAAATGGTTTCTCTGCTTTGTGCCTTCTCTGCGGTTCTCCTTCTTGATTGTTTTTGCTCCCGTCTGCTATAGGATTAAAAAGAAAAACCTGATCAGGGCAAAACAAAGAACATGCACATAATTGGGGGAACAAGGGTTGGTTAAGAGGCAGATCTTGCCATCCATTAAATAGCCTCCGATTATTTGATTTGATTTAATTTAAATATTTAAATCCCATCCTACGTGGAAATCACCACAGGATGGCTTAAAAAAACCAAAACAATCAGTAAACAAAGCAGCAATTTACAACAATTAACAATGCGCATAATATCAACAGAAACATATTACCAACAAAATCAAAATCGGAAACAAAACCAAAACCAAACCGCGACTGTGGATGTTAAAAGCCAATTAAAATTCCCATTCCTTAAAATAGCAGGCAAATAAAAAGGTTTTCACCTGGCGCCAAAAAAAATATCCAGTCAGAGAAAGGAATATAACATTGGCGTTAGCATGATGAGTATTAGCTAGCGGTCAAACTGTTTCTGGAATGCCAAACTGCTTCTCCGACCTGCTTTCTTAGACTTTCCCTCTGAGAAGGGGTGGAGAAGCTCACCTACTTTCTCTTGGCATCCATTAAAGAGGGAGTGGCAAAGACGCCCCACCGGGAATTTTCCCAGGCAGGGCGAGGTGCGGGACTGCAAGTGACGGGACACAAGTGCGTGCCATCAAGCAGAATTATCGGCTGGAGTGGGAAGAGTGGCAGAGGGAAGAAACGGGAGGGGGAAAGGCTGGAAGGGGGAGAAAGGAGGAAGAAAAAGACAGGAATGCTGGGAAGGAGGAGGAAGGGATGAAGGAAGGGCGGCTTCAGGGGAAGAAGCCAGAAACAGGCCAGCTTGGCCTACCTGAGAGATGCACGGCCCAAGCACTAGGGAAGCAAAGTCCCCTGCTGCGCTGGCTTTGGCACAGCTCACTAGCTTAAATCCTGGGAGAAGGAAGAACTTAGGCCAGTGAAGGAACTAGGCCTCTTTGGGAGGTGCAGCAGTGGCGGATCACTGCAGGAGACAATAAAACCCAGTGAGTAACCTTCCTTTCTCTCTGGAGCCTGCGGCCTTTCCCTCCCTCCTGCAATAATAATTAGCAGATTTAGGGACTGGCTGATGAAATTTAATTCGATTTATTTATTTATTTGTTTGTTTATTAAAACATTTCTATGCCGCCCCTTGCCGAAGCCTCGGGGCGGCTTACAACACAATAAAATACAAAAAAATACAAAAATAACAATATAAAATTAACAATATAAAATAAATAACAATGTAAAAGAAGTCGCCCTGGCCAGATAAATTTATATACTACACACACACACACATTCTATATATTTATAGAAACAAGAGTTATATATTGTTATTTTTTATATTTTAACTTAATGCTTGCATTTTACAAACATTTTAACTTAATGTTATAACTTAATGTTTGTATTTTAACTTAATGTTGTGAGCTGCCCCGAGGCTTCGGCAAATGGGGCAGCATAAAAATGTTTTAATAAATAAATAAATAAATAAATAAATAATGAAATGAGATCAGTCAGTTCCTTTCTGTTAATGCAGATGTTTAAAACAGTACTAAACCCTTATCTTCTGTGCTGTCATTTCCATTTTTTCAGTAAACTGTGAATTAGGAGTAAAAATATCTTTGCCAATATTGCAATAACAGAGAGAGCTTCAAAGTCCTAGAAACTTTTATTTCGTGTTATTGCAATATTTCTTGTGAAGAAATAAATAAGAATGGGGGACATTAGCAGACAATACAGCCAAAATCTCTTACGAAGCTCTTCTGCTACTTTTCAAAGGTATAATGATTGGCATATTGAAACTAATAATTGAGCATAATTCATAGTCTGATAAGCAAAATATATGTTTTATTAAGAAAGGCTGGAACAGTAGGCCTAGAAGGCCATCAAGTCCAACTCCCTGCTTGATGCAGGAGTCCAAATTAAAGCCCCTCTAACAGATGGCTGCCCAGCTGCCTCTTGAAAGCCTCCAGTTGGGAGAGCCCATAACCTCCCTGGTTAATTGGTTTAATTGTTGTATTGCTCTAACAGTCGGGAAGTTTTCCCTGCTGTTCGGCTGGAATCTGGCTTCCTGTAACTTGAGCCGGTTATTCCGTGTCCTGCACTCTGGGATGACTGAGAAGAGATCCTGGCCTTCCTTTGTGGCAGCCTGCCGAGGAGTTGCCCAGTGCTATCATTTCTCCCCCAGCCTTCTCTTCTTGAGGCTGGATATACTAGGGAGCCTCCAGCTACGGGGCAGCATACGGCTGTAATACATAATAGTTTTTCCCAGTCTCTCCTCACAGGGCTGTGTTGTTTCCAGTGCCCGGATCACCCTTGCTGGCCTCCTCCGAGCTTTTCCAGTTTGCCTGCGTCTTTCTTAAACTGTGGTGCTCAGAACTGGACACAGCACTCCAGAGGAGGCCGAACCGGTGCTGAGCAACTAGCCTTGCGCGGGATTTCAAAGTGATCCTTCTATTAAAGCGGCCCAAAGTAGCGTTGGCCCTTTTTGCAGCCACATCACATGGTTGCCTCATATTCAGCTGGTGAACGACAACAACCCCAAGATCCTTCCTGCTTGCAGTACTGTTGAGCCAAGCATTCCCCATCTTGTAACAGTGTGTTGGGTTCCTTTTTCATAGGTGCAGAACTTGGCAGAATGACGACCGCATGTCATTCTGTTCTTTTTCGCCCAGTGTTCCAACTGATCAAGACAGTTTTGAATTCTGCTGCCGTCTTCCACTGTGCCACCCGATTGTGTATCATCTGCAACTCTGATCGGCATTCCCTGCACCTCCTCATTCAACTAATGAACAGCAGTGCTGAAGAGCACTGGGTCCACAATGACCCTGGTGGTGCCCTACCTTGCATCACTGTTCTGTAAAGACGAACGAAGCAAAGTATGAAGAGCATCTCAAGAACGCGGAGTAACTGCCATGACGGATGCTCCTGAACGGTACCCGTAAAATGCATTAACATAGCAGCAATGCTGTTTTTCACCATCCGTCCAATCAAAGAAGCTGTTTTACCCTGAGAAGCAAGATTCCTCCAATTCTCCTCCATGATGTCCTTGTGCAGAGCCCTCTGGCCTGGATCCTGCAGTGCCCACTCCTCCTCGGAGAAATGCACGGACACCTCCTCAAAGGTCACAGGATGCTGGAAGGAAGAGGAGGAATAAAGCCATAAATCCTTTTTCTCCACAGAAGCAGTGCCATGATCCCAAAAAGAGGTATTCCCCAGCCTGGGAGTTCTCCTTCAGGATCCAAAGAGGGTGTGAAAAGCGTTCTTAGAAAGCAGCTTTGACAAAAACAATTGCACAGAAATGGATCCACTCAGGTCAAGGGCATTCAGTGGGACAACATTTCCATTCCAAGGTCCAGATTCCATTCCCAAGAAGCATTTGGGGGACACATCCAACTGCTGGATGGGACCCCATGCAAAGTGGGTGGGGATGAAATATCCCCCCCATGCATTCATTCTCCTCTGACCCATTCATGGTGGGAAATAGATCTATTCAGAAGTTAACACGGGCTCATTCCTACGTACAAATAAGCAGGACAAGTTTCTCCAGGTCTACTCAAAAGTAAGGAGCACTGCCTCACCCAGCAGTACTGAATAAAGGAGCCTCTTTCAGGGCTCAGGAGAAAGGCAGTGTTTATCTCGGATCAGTTGCTGATTGGAGCATTTCTCTCTGATCAGCTGCAGCTTGGAGACAACTGCCTCCCCCTCCATGGCAGAAGGGTGGAGACCAGGGGGGAATTCCTATATTTATTTATTTAAAAAATTTATACCCCACCCTATATGCAAAAGTGTCTCAGGACAGCTTACACAAATCAAAACAAACAGTCCAACAATTAACAATAAATGTACATAAAACCAACAATAGCATTTCACAAATGAAATCAAAATCAAAACAGAATCAAAATCAAAATCAAAAATGAGCAAAATCAAAATGCAGCTATGAAAAAGATTAAAACCAGATTAAAATTTCTCACATTTAAAATCATGTGCCAATAAAAAGGTCTTCACCTGGCGCCGAAAAGAATATAAAGTAGGCACCAGGCGAACCTCTCTGGGGAGCGCATTCCATTCTATATAACATTCCGTATGTGATCTGAGCACACAGCAGGCATTTCCTCTCTACCACAAAGAGGAACAGGTCTGGGACAAAGCTGTTGCTTTAGCCTGCTGCCTGTAAGGGAGACAACGGGAGCGGCAAGGGACCTCCTTTTCTGTAAGCATGTTGTGTTTACGACAGCCGAGGGCGGCTGTCAAAGGGGTGGACTGTTTGGAGGGCTGTCATTCATGGGGTCACTCAGACTCAATGACCTCTGAGCTGAGGCTGGTGCTCTTCCCTCTTCGAACTGGAGGGCCTTACAGAGCAAAGTACCTGCCCCACAAAAATACTAATGGGAACATAAGAAAGGCTCTGCTGGGTCAGAGCAAAGAGCCATCGAGTCCAGCACTTTGTATTCGCAGTGGCAAACCAGCTGCCCCAGGATCCCTCCAGCAGGAGGGGTGCAGGACCCCCTCCTGCCCAGCTCCTCGGCAACGGGCTTGTGCAGGCAGGCCGCCTCTGGGGAAGGAGGGCGCACTTGGCCAGCAGGCTAGTAGCCACGGAGAGCCTCCTCCTCCTCCATGAATCTGTCCAGTCCCCTTTAAAGTCATCCAGACTGGTGGCCATCACCCCTTGCCAGCAAATTCCATAGTTTATGTTTTGTGAATAAATAGTGGTACCTTGGCTCATGAACTTAACCCAAATTGGTCGTGAGCCAAGTCAAATTTCCCATAAGTTTCAATGTAAATAAGGTTAATTCGTTCTGTAACTAGTTTTGTTTACTCACAAAAATTTGAAGCCAAGTGACAGGGAAGGCGGGCACAATCGCGATCGTCACCCGATGCAGAGTTCGTGACCTGAGGCGTTCGTGAGCCGAGGTACCACTGTACTTCCTTTTACCTGTCTTAAACTTCCCAACAATCGTCCTCATGGGATGACCCTGAGTTTGAGCATTACAGGAGGAGAAAAATCTTTCCCCATCCTCACCATGCATGATTTTAAATACCTCCATCATTTTTGTTGCCCTCCAATGTACCTTTTCCAACTGAATAATGTCCTTTTTCAGGTACTGTACCCAATATTCCAAGTGTGGTCACAGAAAAGATTTGTATGAAGGAAGTAAGAGTTTGGCAGTTCTATTTTCTATTCCATTCTTAATTATGCCCAGCATGGAGTTTACCTTCTTTCATAGCAGCTACACACTGTGCTGATGTTTCCCTTGAGCCCCCCTCCATTATCTCAAGATCCCTTACTTGCTCAGTCACTACATGCTCAAATTTATTTATTTATTTGGGATATTTCTAACCCGTCCAATCACTGTGCGTCTCTGGACGGCTTACCAAACAGGTTCAATAAATAAAAAAATGTAAAAGCTCATAAATACCCCAACAAAGATAAAACTATTAACCCACAACTGAAAATAAAAAATAATTAAAATCTTTTAACCATTAAAATATTGGATGAATAAAAAGGTCTTGACCTGACGCCGCAAAGCATATAATGACGGCACCAGGCGGACCTCTCTAGGGTGCACATTCCATAGCCAGGGCGCCACCGCAGAGAAAGCCCTCCCAATCAGCCTATATTATCTAGCATTTAAGAGGCTAATACTATTGAGAAGTGGTAATAAAGAACTTGAGAAGTGGTAATAAAGAATTAAAGCTTCACTTTAATAGTCTTCTGAATGGTTTTTGGTTTAGTATGACTCCCTTCAGCTGCAAGACTGGTGATTTCTCCCTTGAAACAAAGCATATTTAAATTTGGAAAACAGAGAAAAAAAATTACATTTCCTGATTCTCTTTCCATGCTTATTTGCAAGCACACTTCCTGACTTCCTTTCCATCCATAAAGAACATTTACATCCCTCAACCTCTTTTCCTTTCAGACTTAACACTATTTTGTTAACTCTTTCTTCATCCATAAGTGCTACGAAGCATTTTGAATTTCAGGACCTGGGTGGAAAGTAATCTTTTTTCCAAGTTTGCAGTTGAGCACAGTTCAAAGTGCTGATGTTCTCTATCTATCCATCCATCCATCCATCCATCCATCCATCCTTCCATCTGTTGAAACAAAACTCCTTTTACATACAAAAAAGAGGCTGCAAAGAAATGCTCTGCTGGGAAAGATCAATGATGGAAAACATTAAAACAACCCAAGGACTTTGGACAAGATTAAGGGACTGGAGATTAAGGGATCAGAAGGTGACATTGGAAGCTAAACAGAAACTCATTCTTACCAGATGTGATGAAACTTGTCTTCCTCACCCTGAATCCCTGGGACCTGGACACTCTGACAGGCATTCAATGGACTCTGCTCTGCCTCTGGGAATTTGGCTGATACTCCTTTCACCTGTAAAAAGAATGCAGCTCTCAAGGCCGAGAAATGGGAACTAGGAAATTAGCACTGGGGCCAGTGTTGCTCCGTTCCTTTGACGTTTATTCGGCCTTCTAAATCCCATAGCCTCACCAGCATCCACGGGAATATTCAGGACAGCCAGCGGTCAGTACATGTAACATGTAACATCCGCTTCACAAAGTTTCAGGTTTGATCCATGCCATCTCTGGGGCAGCCTGGAGATTTTCTTGCCAGAAACCCTGGAGATCTAGGTGTCACGGTCCAAGGTTCCGATGTCCTGCAAGAAGGCTGCCTGCACTCCTATTGGCAGCCCATATAGAAAAACCAAGAATGTGGCATTGCATCATGGGTCCTCAAACTACGGCCCGTCAGCCATATCCGGCCCGCCATGCCGATTTATCCGGCCCTCCTCAGAGCTTTTGGGCTCGCTCGGAGAAAACGATCTCCGAGCAAGTCCAAAAGCTCTGAGCTGACGCAGGCGTACTCAGTGGGGAGATGGCCGCGATTGCGGTTGCGCTCGTGCAGGGAAGACGGGCACGGTCGCAGCCATGCTAGAGGGGGAGGAGATGGCCGTGATCGCGCCCGCCTTTTCTGCACGGGTGCGACCGCGCCTGTCTTCCCCCCGCCCCAGCACGATCGCGGACATAGTAGCTCTGCCCCTTGAATATGGACATGCTCTTCCCCACCTCATCTTGGGCTTCTGCTGCAGCACAAGTGAGCAGAGCAAACATTTTTACTTTTTATTTATTTTTTAATTTTAATTAATGTTGTAAATTAATTTTAATTTTTAATTCTAGTGTTAATTAGTTTTCTTAAATTTAATTTTAATTAATTTTAATGTGCAGTGTGCATAGGAATTCATTCATATTTTTTTCAAACTATAGTCCGCCCCCGCAACAGTCTGAGGGACAGTGAACTGGCCCCCTGTTTAAAAAGTCTGAGGTCCCTTGCATTACATAATCCTTCCTGAAAAAAACCAGTAATGAAAAGACTTGCTGGCTGGTGGGGGGGGGGGGGACACACAGTGGGAGGACTGAATTGCCCATCAGTTTTGATGGCTGCAGGAGTTAATGTTTCTGCTGTTCAAAAGGGGATTCTCTCCCTTCCTCATCTGGAGGACCGTGTCCAGTTCTGGACACCCCAGATTAAGAAAGATGCAGACAAGTTGGAAAGGGATCAGAGGAGGGTGATGAAGATGCTCCGGGGTCTGGAAACAAAGCCCTGTGAGGAGAGATGGAAAGAACTGGGCATGTTGAGCCTCGAGAAGAGAAGCCTGAGGGGAGACAGGATCTCTCTCTTCAAGTACTTCAAAGGTTGCCACAAAGGGGAAGGCCAGGATCGCTTCTCGACCATCCCAGAGTGCAGGACATGGAATAATGGGCTCCAGTTGCAGGAAGCCTGATTCCGGCTAGATATCAGGACAATGTCCGGACTGTTAGGGCAATGGAGGCAGTGACCTGGGGAGGTGGTGGGCTCCCCCACACTGGAGGCATTCAACTGGGCAGCCACCTGGGAGGGGTGGTTTAGCCTGGGAGTCGTGCATGGAGCAGGGGGTTCAACCCAATGGCTCCCTGGCCCTTTCCAGCTCTACCATTCTATGACTGCTGGATTGTAACACACCATTCCAAGGATCTTGTCTTCCCCGGGGAGGTTATTCCCCAGTCACTCAGACCACCAGCTCCAAGAGGATGGCCCAGTTCATTTGTGACACTCTGCCCTATCTCTTTTCCTCAAAACAGACCTG